CTATTCAATATTATACCAGTAACCATCACCAGTGCAATAAGGCAAGAAAAATAAATAAAACACATATAGGTCAAAAATAAGTAATTAAAACTCTCTTATTCACAGATGACATATTTATGTATATAGAAAGTCCTATAGAAACCATAGTAAAGCTCCTAAACTAATATGTGAATTTGATAAACACAGAATAGAGTCAATTAAAAATCAATTGTATTTCTATATTGCAGCAAAGAACAATTGAAAAATAAAATTTAAAACAGTTCATTAAAAATATCAAGCAAAAACATGAAATTTAGTTAACCAAGCAAGATATATCTGGGATGTTGGTCATGTAGGACACTTTAGATTTGACTCTGGGTGCATGCAATACTCTAGTTACTGCATGATTTATTTGGCTATATGTACACTGTCAGTGGTGTCTGTGATTTCCTTAGTGGGTTAGGGTGCAGTTATTAGTAGAGGCTGTGGCAAGCTTTTTCTGGGAATGGGGATAGCAAGTGGACCAGTTCTCAGGCCTTAGTGGTGGTAGCTGTGGGCTGAACATACCTGTCCTTGCATTTTCAGGTGGTGTACATGGTCACTGGTGCTAGAAGGTCCAAACAAGCCAATTCTTGGGCTTCCCAGCAGCTTGCGTGGGTGCCAGTAGTGACCTGAGCAGGTGGCTGAGTCCTTGATTCTCTTGGTAGCATGCATGACATGGGCAATGGCAGTATTCCTGCTGGGACAACCCTTGGGCTCTGAAATGGCATGTGTCAGTATTAGCAGTGGCTGCAATGGCCTGGGAAAGCCAGTCCTCAGGCTCTGATGTGATGCATGCAGGAGAATGCCAGCTATCGTAGTAGTGGCAGCCTGACTTGGTTCCTCCTCAGGTACATAGGAGTGAACAAATACCAGCAGTGGTGGACAAGGTGGAGTAATCCCCCAACTTCCATGCCAGTGAGCTTGGGCACTAGGAGTGCAGTGCCAGGCTAAGAGGGCCTGTCTTCAGACCCTGCAGTGATGCACTCAGTCCCTGGCTGTAGTGGGCAGGGAAGAGTGATCCCCAGACTCCCCAGTGGAGTGTGTGGGTGGCTGTAGCAGAAGAAGTGATGAACAGAGGGACCCTCTCATAGGGGAGCATGCAATTGTGTTGTGACCCTGCTACTGATGAAGTGTGGTTGTCAACAGTGGCTGCAGCTGCAGGCAGGCATTTCCTCAGCTCCTGGGACTTCAGGACTTCAACATTTGTAGTTCTCCTTGAAGAGGTCCTTCACGTTCTTTGGTAGTTGTATTCCTAGGTATTTTATTCTCTCTGTAGCAACTGTGAATGGGAGTTTGCTCATGATTTGGCTCTCTTGTCTGTTATTTGTGTATAGGAATGCTTGTGATTTTGCACATTGATTTTGCATCCTGAGACTTTGCTGAAGTTGCTTATCATTGCTTTTTTAATAAAGTTGTACTTTAAGTTCTGAGGTACATGTGCAGATCTTGCAGGATTGTTGCATAGGTACACACATGCCGTGGTGGTTTGCTATCTCCATCCCCCCGTCACCTACGTCAGGCATTTCTCCCAGTGTTATCCTTCCCCAACCTCCCTGCACCCTGTTGTCTCTGCCATAGCCCCCCAGCCCCCAACAGAATCCAGTGTGTGATGCTCCCTTTCCTGTGCCCATGTGTTCTCATTGTTCAACATCTGCCTCTGAATGAGAACACGTGGCGTTGGGTTTCTGTTCTTTTGTCAGTTTGCTGAGAATGATGGTTTCCGGACTCATCCATGTCCTTACAAAGGACACGAACTCATCGTTTTTGACAGCTGCATAGTATTCCATAGTGTATATGTACCACATTTTCTTTGTCCAGTCTATCATTGATGGGCATTTGAGTTGGTTCCAGGTCTTTACTATTGTAAACAGTGCCACAATTGACATACATGTACATATGTCTCTATAACAGAATGATTTCTAATCCTTTGGCTATATACCCAGTAATGGGATTGCTGGGTCAAATGGTATTTCTATTTTTAGAACATTGAGGAATCACCACAGTGTCTTCCACAATGGTTGAACTAATTTACACTCCCACCAACAGTGTAAAAGTGTTCCTATTTCTCCACATCCTCTCCAGCATCTGTTGTCTCCAGACCTTTTAATCATCACCATTCTGACTGGCGTGAGATGGTATCTCAATGTGGTTTTGATTTGCATTTCTCTAATGACCAGTGATGACAAGCATTTTTTCATGTTTGTGGGCCTCATAATTGTCTTCTTTTGAAAAGTGTCTGTTCATATCCTTTGCACACTTTTTGAATGGACTTGTTTGTTTTTTTCTTGTAAATCTGCTTTAGTTCTTTGTAGATTCTGGATATTAGCCCTTTATCAGATGGGTACATTGCAAAATTTTTTTCCCATTCTGTTGGTTGCAGGTTTACTCTAATGCTTGTTTCTTTTGCTGTGCAGAAGCTCTTAGTTTAATTAGATCCCATTTGTCTATTTTGGCTTTTGTTGCCATTGCTTTTGGTGTTTTAGTCATGAAGTCCTTGCCTATGCCTATGTCCTGAATGGTATTGCCTATGTTTTCTTCTAGGGATTTTATGGTGTTAGGTCTTATGTTTAAATCTTTAATCCATCTGGAGTTAATTTTAGTGCAAGGTGCAAGGAAGGGGTCTAGTTTCAGCTTTCTGCACATGGCTAGCCTGTTTTCCCAACACCATTTATTAAACAGGGAATCCTTTTCCCATTGCTTGTTTTTGTTAGGTTTGTCAAAGATCAGATGGTTGTAGATGTGTGATGTTGCTTCCAAGGCCTTTGTTCTGTTCCATTGGTCTATATCTCTGTTTTGGTACCAATACCATGCTGTTTTGATTACTGTAGCCTTGTAGTATAGTTTGAAGTCAAATAGCATGATGCCTCCAGCTTAGTTCTTTTTGCTTAGGATTGTCTTGGCTATTCTGGCCCTCTTTTGGTTCCATATGAAGTTTAAAGTGGGTTTTTCCAGTTCTGTGAAGAAGGCCAATGGTAGCTTGATGGGGATAGTGTTGAATCTATAAATTACTTTGGGCAGTATGGCCATTTTCACGATATTGATTCTTCCTAACCATGAGCACAAAATGTTTTTCCATCTGTTTGTGTCCTCTCTTGTTTCGTTGAGCAGTGGTTTGTAGTTCTCCCTGAACAGGTCCTTTGTTAGTTGTATTCCTAGGTATTTTATTCTCGTTGTAGCAATTGTGAATGGCAGTTCATTCTTGATTTGACTCTCTTTAAGTCTGTTATTGGTGTATAGGAATGCTTGTGATTTCTGCACATTTATTTTGTGTCCTATGAGTTTGCTGAAGTTGCTTATCAGCTTAAGGAGATTTTTGGCTGAGACGATGCGTCTTCTAAATATACAATCAATCAATCATGCCATCTGCAAATAGAGACAATTTGACTTCCTCTTTTCCTAACTGAATACCATTTATTTCTTTTTCTTTCCTAATTGGTCTGGCCAGAACTTCCAATACTATGTTGAATAGGTGTGGTAATAGAGGGCATCCTTGTCTAGTCCAGGATTTCAAAGGGAATGTTTCCAGTTTTGCCCATTCAGTATGATATTGGCTGTTGGTTTGTCGTAAATAGCTTTTACCGTTTTGGGATATATTCCTTCGATACCTACTTTATTGAGAGTTTTTAGCATAAAGGGATGTTGAATTTTGTCGAAGGTCATCTCTGCATCTATTGAGATGATCATGTGGTTTTTGTCTTTGGTTCTGTTTATGTGATGGATTACATTTATAGAAAAGGGGACTTTAATACACTGTTGTTTGGAATGTAAATATAGCCGCTATGGAAAATAGCCTGGGGATTTCTCAAAAAACTGAAAGTAGAACTACCATAAGATCTAAAAATCTCACTAATCATCATTTATCCCAAGCACAAGAAATCAGTATGTCAAAGGGATACTTGCCCTCTCATGTTTATTGTAGCATTATTAACAATAGACAAGGTATGGAATCCACCTAAGTGTCCATCAACAGATAAGTGGATAAAGAAAGTGTGGTATACATATACAGTGAAATAGTATTCTTCCATAAAATAAAATGAAACTCTGACACTTGCAACAGCATGGATGTAATTGGAGTCATTATGCCAAGCGAAATAAGCCAGGCACAGAAAGACAAAAATAGCATGTTCTCAGTTACATGTGGGAGTTTAAAAAGTTGATCACATGAAGATAAAGAATGAAAAGATGGGTAACAGAGAGTGTGGAGGGTGATTTGGAGGAGAAGGGAAGATGAAGAGAAGTGAGTTAAAAAGTACACACATAAATATAAGCTAGAAGGAAAAACTTCAATGTTTGATAGACGAGTAGGGTGACCACAGCTAATAAAAATGTATTGTACTTGGGTTATGGGCACCCTAGATACCCTGACTTGATCACTATGCATTACATACACATAACATAATTTCATATGTATCCCATAATTTGTACTGATAAAAAATTTTGAAAGAAGATGAACCATCAGAGAGACATTCTCCTGCAGGTTTTAGAGGAAGAGAACAATCAGCTATTTTGTGAACCACCTATACAGAGGAACAACCTCTAGGAATTGAATGCGAACCCCAACCAACAGCTACCCAGTAACCTAAGACCTCAGTCATATAGCTTCAAGGAAGTTAATTCTGCCAAAAACTTGAATGAAGATGGAAGAGTCACCTGGGTCCCATATCAGAACTGCATTCCTCACCAACACCTTGAGTGCAGTTTTTGAGACCCTGAGCAGAAGACCTTAGCAGACCATGCCCAGACAATGGACCAATGGAAAGCATGAGATAATAAATGGCTGTTGTTTTAAGATACAAAGTTTGTGGTAATTTGTTACACAGCAATAGAAAATGAATACAGCATGCTTCTTGTTTTTAGACCTATCCTGGGCAGGCCCAGAAATTCAAAAGAACTTAAGTTGGTAAGAATCCTCAATCTGCAATAAACAAACCAATAAAATAGATTATCTTCAGCAAAATAGTATCTTGTAAATGCTGTACCTTGGAGGAGCCAGGGTCTGCTCTAGAAACTCCTCAATTTTAATGAAGTCTGTTTTCAACTCCTTGTTATACACCAGGAAGGGAGGATTGGTACCTGGGGCTAAGTCCTTCAGCTCTTCAGGCTTTCTATGATTATTAAAAATAAGCAGAGTTAGGTCTCTAGGTAAAGTACTCGTTATATAAACATCAATATTATTTTGCTGTCTACCAATCTCAATTTCTATAATTTAACATGTCCTGATTTCTCTTACCTGGTCATGTCAACAGTTGTCACATTAAATTTAACTCCTTTAAGCCAGAGGATCATGAAAAGGCGTTGGCAAAAGGGACAATTTCCAATACTCTCTCCATCACTTCCAGCCTATTAACATAAAGAGAGACCTAAGTTCATTTGCTTGTTCAATGAGCATGTATTGAGTGCCTATCAGGAAATGAGCTAGTTGCTAGAGACAACCTTGGACATTCTTAATCTTAAGGACTCCATCAGCTATGGACAGAGAGATACAGTGAAGCAAATAATTTCATTACATGTAAAGTTACAAGTGTGATGGGTACATAATAATAATTAATTTTATATATTATCAGAATTTACATATTTTTCCTATTGAACGACATTGAAGATATTCCAAAACTTTTACTACTCTACGTACTTCAAAAACAAACATTTCTGGGAATATAGCTCCTTCCACTTCTGAAATTATATCTTTAAGGTTAATCTTTAGAATGAAAATGGCGTTCTAACCAATGCAAGGAAGCTAAGAAAGTTGAAAAAAGTTTAGACGAATTGCTAACTGGAATAACTAGTTTAGAGAAGAACATAAATGACCCAATAGAGCTGAAAAACACAGTATGAGAACTTCGTGATGCATACATAAGTATCAATAGCCGAATTGATCAATCGGAAGAAGGATATCAGATATTGAAGATCAACTTAATGAAATAAAGTGTGAAGATACAACTCGAGAGAAAAGAATTTTAAAAAATGAACAAAGCCTCCAAAAAATATGGGACTATGTGAAAAGACCAAACCTACATTTGATTGGTGTACCTGAAAGTGATGGGGAGAATGGAATCAAGTTGGAAAACACACTCCAGGAGAACTTCACCAACCTAGCAAGATGGCCAACATTCAAATTCAGGAAATACAGAGAACACCACAAAGATACTCTTTGAGAAGAGCAACCCCAAGACACATAATCATCAGATTCACCAAGGTTGAAATGAGGGAAAAAATGTTAAGGGAAGCCAGAGAGAAAGGTTGGGTTACTCACAAAGGGAAGCCCATCAGACTAACAGTGGATCTCTCTGCAGAAACCCTACAAGCCAGAAGAGAGTGGGGGACAATATTCAACATTCTTTTTTTTTTTGAGACAGAGTCTTGCTTTGTCGCCAGGTGCCAGGCTGGAGTTCAGTGGCACAATCTCGGCTCACTGCAACCTCTGCCTCCAGGGTTCAAACAATTCTCCTGCCTCAGCCTCTTGAGTAGCTGGGACTACAGGCATCTGCCACCACACATAGCTAATTTTTGTATTTTTAGTAGAGACAAAGTTTCACTATGTTGGCCAGGATGGCTTGATCTCTTGACCTCATGATCCACTCGTCTCTGCCTCCCAAAGTGATGGGATTACAGGCAAAAGCCACCACGTCCAGCCTCAACATTCTTAAAGAAAAGAATTTTCAAACCAGAATTTCATATCCAGTCAAACAAAGCCTCATACAGGAAGGAGAAATAAAATCCTTTACAGATGAGCAAATGCTGAGAGATTTTGTCACTACCAGGCCTGCCTTACATGAGCTCCTGGAGGAAGCAGTAAACATGGAAAGAAGCCAGTACCAGCCACTGCAAAAACATACCAAATTGTAAAGACCGTCAACTATGAAGATACTGCATCACCTAACAGGCAAAATTACCAGCTAGCATCATAATGACAGGATCAAGTTCACACATAACAATATTAACCTTAAATGTAAATAGGCTAAGTGTCCCAGTTAAAAGACACAGACTGGCAAGTTGGATAAAGAGTCAAGATCCATTGGTGTGCTGTATTCAGAAGACCCATCTCACATGCAAAGACACACATAGGCTCAAAATAAAAGGATGGAGGAATATTTACCAAGCAAATGGAAAGAAAAAAAAAAAAAAAAAAAAAAAAACAGGGGTTGGAATCCTAGTCTCTGATAAAACAGACTTTAAACCAACAAAGACAAAAAGTGACAAAGAAGGGCATTACATAATGGCAAGGGATTAATGCAGCAAGAAGATCTAACTATCCGAAATCCATATGCACCCAATACAGGAGCACCCAGATTCATAAAGCAAGTTGTTAGAGACCTACAAAGAGACTTAGACTCCCACAAAATAATAGTGGGAGACTTTAACACCCCACTATCAGTATTAGACAGATCCATGAGACAGAAAATTAACAAGGATATTCAGGACTTGAACTCAGCTCTTGACCAAGCAGACCTAACAGACATCTACAGAACTCTCCACTCCAAATCCACAGAATATACATTGTCTTCTCAGCACCACATTGATCACATAACTGAAAGTAAAACACTCCTCAGCGATTGCAAAAGAATGGAAATCATAGTAGTCTCCCAGACCAAAATGCAATCAAATTAGAACTCAGGATTAAGAAACTTACTCAAAACCATATAACTACATGGAACCAGAACAACATGCTCCTAAATGACTACTGGGTAAATAATGAAATTAAGGCAGAAATAAATCAGGTCTTTGAAACCAGGGAGAACAAAGACACAATGTACCAGAATCTCTCAGACATGGCGAAAGCAGTGTTTAGAGGTAAATTTATAGCATAGGAGATGCCTACAGGGGAAAGCAGGAAAGATCTTTCCTAACATCACAATTAAAATAACTAGAGAAGCAAGAGCAGACAAATTCAAAAGCTAGCAGAAGACAAGAAATAAGATCAGAGCATAACTGAAGGAGATAGAGACACAAAAGACCCTTCAAAAAATCAATGAATCCAGGAGCTGGTTTTTGAAAAGATCAACAAAACAGATAGACTGCTAGCCAGACTAATAAGGAAGAAAAGAGAGAAGAATCAAATAGACACAATAAAAAGTGATAAAGAGGATATCACCACTGATATCACAGAAATACAAACTACCATCAGAGAATATTGTACACACCTCTATGCAAATAACTAGAAAATCTAGAAGAAATGGATAAATTCCTGGACACATACACCCTCCCAACACTAAACAAGGAAGAAGTCAAATTCCTGAATAGACCAACAACAAGTTCTGAAATTGAGGCAGTAATTAATATAGCCTACCAATGAAAAAGCACAGGATCAGACATATTCATAGTCAAATTCTGCCAGAGGTACAAAAAGGAGCTTGTACCATTCCTTCCAAAACTATTCTAAACAATAGAAAAAAAGGGAATCCTCCGTAACTCATTTTATGACACCAGCATCATCCTGATACCAGAAACTGGCAGAAACACAACAAAACAAGAAAATTTCATGCCAATATCCCTGATAAACATTGATGCAAAAATCCTCAATAAAATACTGGCAACTGAATCCAGCAGAACATCAAAATCTTACCCACCGCAATAAAATCAACTTCATCCCTGGGATGCAAGGCTTGTTCAACATATGCAAATCAGTAAACATAATCCACCACTTAAACAGAACCAAAGACAAAAAACACATGATTATCTCAATAGATGCAGAAAATGCCTTTGATAAAATTCAACAATGCTTCATGCTAAAAATTCTCAATAAACTATGTATTGATGGAACATATCTCAAAACAATAAGAGCTATCCATAAAAAACCCATTGTTAATATCATACTGAATGGGCAAAAGCTGGAAATATTCCCTTTGGAAACTGGCACAAAACAAGGATGCTCTCTCTCAGCACTCCTATTCAACATAGTATTGGAAGTTCTGGCCAGGCCAATCAGGAAAGAAAAAGAAATAAAAGGTATTCAGTTAGGAAAAGAGGAAGCCAAATTGTCTTTATTTGCAGATGACATGATTGTATATTTAGAAAACCCCCATCATCTCAGCCAAAAAACTTAAGCTGATAAACAACTTCAGCAAAGTCTCAGGATACAAAATCAATGTGCAATATTGCACTACAATATACAGACTATAATAAACAAAGAGCCAAATCAGGAGTGAACTCTCATTCACAATTGCTACAAATAAATAAAATACCTAGGAATACAACTTACAAGGGACGTGAAGGAGCTCTTCAAGGAGAACTAGAAACTGCTGCTCAAGGAAATAAGAGAGGACACAAACGGATGGAAAAACATTCCACGCTCATGGATAGGAAGAATCGGTATCATGAAAATGACCATACTGCCCTAAGTAAGTTACAGATTCAATGCTACCCTCACCAAGCTACCATTGATTTTCTTCACAGAATTAGAAAAAAAGCTACTTTAAATTTCATATGGAACCAATCAAGAGCCCATATAGCCAAGACATTCCCAAGCAAGCAAGCAAACAAACAAACAAAAACAAACATAACAAAAGCAAAGCTGGAGGCATCACACTACCTGACTTCAAACTATATTACAGGGCTACAGTAACCAACACAGCACAGTACTGGTACCAAAACAGAGATATGGACCAATGGAACAGGACAGAGCCCTCAGAAATAACACCAAACATCTACAACCATCTGATCTTTGACAAACCTAACAAAAACAAGTAATGGGGAGATTTCCTATTTAATAAACGGTGGTGGGAAAACTGGCTAGCCATATTCAGAAAACTGAAACTGGACCCCTTCCTCACTCCTTATATGAAATTAACTAGAGGTGGATTAAAGACTTAAATGTAAAACCTAAAACCATAAAAACCCTAGAAGAAAACCTAGGTAATACCATTCAGGACGTAGGCATGGGCAAGGCCTTCATGACTAAAACACCAAAAGCAAATGCAGCAAAAGCCAAAATTGACAAATGGCATCTAATTAAACTTCAAAGCTTCTGTACAGCAAAAGAAACTACATCATCAGAGTGAACAGGCAACCTACAGAACGGGAGAAAGTTTTTGCAATCTATCCATCTGACAAAGCGCTAATATTTAGAATCTACAAAGAACTTCAACAAATTTACAAGAAATAACCCCACCAAAAAGTGGACAAAGGATATGAATGTACATGTCTCAAAAGAAGACATTTGTGTGGGCAACAATCCTATGAAAGAAGCTCATCATCACTGGTTGTTAGAGAAATGTAAAACAAAAGCACAATGACATACCATCTTATGTCAGTTAGAATGGCAATCACTAAAAAATCAAGAAACAACAGATACTGGAGAGAATGTGGAGAAATAGGACAGAAATAGGAATGCTTTTACACTCTTG